CCTGCGTGCGTGCTTAGCTGCCTGGTTCGAGGAGTTGGAGAAGAAGCCGCCGGCGATGTCAATTGAGCAAGCACGAGAGACTCTTGGTCTGAACACAATGGAAGATGGGTTCGTGATGTTTTTCACTACTATTATTTTGGAAACCTTATACCAAGTTCTGTGCTGGTGTCACACGGTTGTCATCTTCCAGATGGCAGGACGCATCGGTGATTCGTCGCGCGTACTTCAAACTAGCCGCACGTTACCATCCGGACAAAAATCCGGAAGGTCGTGAGATGTTTGAGCGGATCAACACGGCGTACGAATTGTTGTCGAGTGATGCTGGCCGATCGTCTATGCCAGATCCACAGCGTATTGTGTTGTTCCTCCAGGCACAAAGTATCATTTATGGCCGTCATTCTCAAGGTACGGCTTTTTTGGTCACTATCTGTGGCCCGTTGATGTCTTTTAGCATTAAAGCATACTAGATGACCCAAGAGCCGCCACAAGCGAGCCATTTGGCAGATTCATGGGCTCATCAAGCTTGGCAGTGCTGTTTGCAGTACACGGGAACTGGCACCATCCCAGTCCTTTCGCTCACAGGCGTATGAAATGAGCCATCTTCCTAGGAAAGAATACTCGCAGTCGTACTGTATCAGAGTATCCCATATGTTCGGAAGCTATTTATTAGAAACCCAGTGAATACATAAGTTGACGATTCCGTCTTGATAATCTAACAGCTTCTCCTTGATAACTGTAGCAGAGTAGGCCAAGAGTAGAAAAGATATGCATTGTAGCGTACTTCTGTAAGCACTTCCAGGGCGATCAGTTTGTAGTCTTTTGCATAGTTCATGAGAAGTGAACCCATTACGTCTGAAGGCTTAGTTATTGCTTAACGACGATAGAGTTCTAGCAATGTTCTTTTTTGAAAAGCTTGTTTTTTTCAAATTGAGATTCCCTTTAGAGGCTGTTGATGAGGAATTTCCTTACACTTGATCCCTAGACGATAAACGCGGCAGACAGCGCCGCTCGCTACCAGAAAACATCTCGCACACTCCCCCAACCAACATACTTTTCCAAACATAGATTACCTAATTCTTCTTTGGGTGAACATTAATACGAGCTATTCTGCGCATACAAATACCATGGATATGGTCACTACTTCGACACACTACTCCTACGATCTGGAGGCAACGAAACGGCTTCACTGTTTCCAGACGGTGGCGGTGCATTAGTTGAGCGGCACTGTTGACGTTGGCGAACCATCTCTGATGAGGCAGCGCTCTGAATGCTGCTACATTTGAAGAGAGCAAGGCCTAGAGGTGAGTTACCTGACAGCGATTTAATGAGAGAAGGGAAGAAATCAGGGAAAAACTGCGGCAGAATTCGAGAAACAGTGAAATTGAGAAAAGGAGGATGAACACACAGCGGTCGGCAGAATTCCTTGTTCGCGCACACAAATCTTATGGCTTTTCTTACGAATAAAAGTTGCTACATTAATGCTAACATGGCATAGATACTTAGTCAGTGTAACTTAGCTCGCAAGGGGAGATCATAGGCGTGTTGATGCAACCTCTACGATTGCCAAGCTGATTAGTATTGATCATGTTATTGGAAATTTTCTCTAGTACTTTTTGTGCTATTTTGCCGAGTTTCCGCTCAATGTTGGATTGTATCGGACGTCCGGACTGCTTCCGAAACAAATAAGTTGTGCTGTTTAGGCTCTTCAAATCGCATTTGATCGCTGTGTACCTGTGATTACAGTGAGTTCTACACCGACAGACATGGCTGTGCAGGTGAATTGATTCATTTGTTTAAGCCAAGTGGATGATTATCCACCTGTCGAATATAAAACTGTAATTCGAGAGAACATAGTTTAAACTCTCAACCGCCCTCAGCAAATTGTCATAACAAATATTCGCCATCGAAACCCAATAAAAGACGCGGTGCAATATACCTGCTCAAATTAAGCAAGATATCTGGCTCCTGAACCACGAATATTGTCGCCGGACATATTAATAAAATAGATACCTCATTTGAGTGTAATATCGTCGTCCAGGGTCGCTGCCCGCGGTCCCGAGGATTTACCCAAATCTATTCCTAGGGAAAAACTTACATTGAAATATGGCCTGCATTCCGTAGAGTGAGGCAGTGAAGTGCAAGCCGCTTTTCCGCCACATCTAGCGCGCTGGCGCATTTTTTGGTTTTCAAATGACTATCTAAATTTGCATTTACAGGTGTGCGAACATATATGCAATTGTTTTGCTACAGCTGCGAGCTTTGAAGCATGTCGTCAACGTATCGCAGAGATGCCCACTGTCTTTGGCAATATATGTCGATTGCTTCAATTTCCGGTAGGTTTAGAAAAGACAGTGGAATATCACGTAGGAACATCGTACTAGTCAAGGAAAGCTTATAGTGAGTTGACTGAAACTGATTATTTGGCTCATTTTTGTACAGGATCTTCCCCGCTTGTCATCGGCGGCTGCGCAATGTGTCTGTTCGATGGCTGTGGACACCTTGCTGCAAACTCAATTGTTCCAGTCAGGTGTACTGTGGCAACTTGTTCCACATCTTTTCCATTACGACTACACTCTTGACGAAGGCGGTTGGTACTTTTGAAACCGAAACTTCATCATGTTCAACGAAATGAGCTCATACTGAAATTTCATGTGCCTTCATACCTTTTACTTTACCATTAAGGTGTTTCACATAGTGAAGAATCAAACAAGCAAGCTATGGCGAATCGTTTGGCTCGGGTCAGCTGCGAAGCATTAGCTTGCTTGGCAGGGTTCAGGTGATTTTTCCTACATATTCACTTCTGTTGAGTATCTTCTAGGACATATAGACAAAGACATGCTTTTTTGCAGAGAGGCTACACCAGATAACGATGGTGTGCAGAATAGTTTGCGGGCGCTCTTGACGCCGTACGTTTGTCGATGCATGCGAACAGAAAGTAATGATATGGTAGGTGTTCTTGTTAACCTTGATAAGTGATATGTAGAAATGTGATGTTGGAAATTGTGAGAATTTGCAGCTCGCCCGAGCCTGGGCGAGTATTTGAAACGCTTACACCTTAGAACTAATATGAAGGGACCGGCGACTTTGAGTGCTGCGAGGGAGGTCTTTACTGAGACAACGCGGAGAATTAGGGCATTTCATAGCTGGTTCAATAGACACACAGTATTTTCACTCTGAATCAATCAGGTCCTGATGCGGCTATACTCTGATTCGCTGTGGATGAAGGGGCGTGTCAGGCAGTGTGAGTGTGCCACGGCGCCAAACCCGTTCTCTGCCAGTTGTTGAAGCGGGTATGCGACAAAAATTGGTAGAAAACGAGTGCTACGATCGATAGATAGAGTCTTGTCACTTGCTCGCTTAAAACAACCGGTGTAGAACGGGCTTGACACTGCGCCAAACTCACGTCGCCCGACACGCCCCTTCGTCCGCCGCGAATTACACTAGTGACACCCACCTCTTGCAAGGTATGCATTAGGCTTCTGTCAGCCAAGCATTTCTCTTTGCGAGGGTCCAGAGATATTTTTCATCACATCTAATGGTGGAGAGTTGGAGAGTTTAAAGGGAGGAAAAAGAGGAGAGAGAGGAGAAAATGAAAGGAGGAAAAGAAGTACTAAGAAAAAAAAGAAACGAGTGGGAGGCTTCGCGGTAGACAAGTATCCTGAAACGCCTCTTACAACGCCGCTTCTGCTGCTCAGCAAAGTGGGTCTGCCGCGCTACTGCAGCGGCCTTTGACATCTCTGTCAAGCTAAGTTACTTCAGAGTTTTTTTACGTCGTTCTTCCTCAACACTTGATGATATCCTCTTGAAATTTTGCGAAAGGCTCGTATTGTAAGCCTCATTGTATAACCGATGCTGAATTCTGAATTCTCAATTTTACTTCTAACCATGATCCACTAGTTGTTTGAGAAGGGCAACACAGCAAGTTGAAATACATACACGAGATCAATTTTTGGTTGTATTCTGTTTCAGTCTTTACTTCCACAGTGGACTTTCAGGTTCTGAAAACTTTGAATTGCAACACGGAGAATCCATACCTGATCTGGGATAATGGCACTCGTGCTGAGGTTTTGGAATTCGTTGAACGGCATCGTACTTCGAGAGAACAGACGGTATGTGTTGTTTTCTGGAGACCTTTTAATTTGATAACTGTTGTTAAATCCGCAGTTCGCACTCCGAAACCTATCACAAGGATGTTGATTTATGGACAAAGGTCAGACTTCAGACTTTAGGCTAGACTAGAACCAGCACAGCACGCTAACCGGCTGAATGCGCTTCAGTTCGCCAAGAAAACTGCTCTTCCCCTTTCAGCTCATGGCACAAAAAGACTTTGAGCAGCGAGTTCAAGAGCGGCCCCGGTGGCGTAATGGAGAGCCGCACTTGCCCAGTCAGCAGGAAATTTGGGGTCGAGTCCTGCCTGAAGTCTGACTTTTGCCCACAATTCAGCCTTCTTGTGGTACTAGTAGTATTTATTTGAATTTCACTGCCGCTGTGCATTATTGGCCTTGTGACCCTGCCATTCGGGTCTGTAAATGTTTTATTCCATTCAGTTTTGATTACTTCAGAGTGAACTGTTCGGTGCGGAGTTCCAACTGTCGATTCACGCTAAAGAGCTGATAGTAGGCGATATATTTGTGCGAATTTACAACGAACAACCAACGTTTGTTTTGCAAGTGAGTCTTAGTTGTATTTTCCCAAGGATTTGTGTTGTGCTGTACTGCCGGTTGTATTATCTGCAGGAGCCTAAGAAGGTGGCTATGGATTTGCTGGACTTTATGGGACGGCATGCACCTGAGCTCACCGGACAGCTGAGGAAGCCAGCAAATGGCGATTTAATAGATATTGACTGGTCGTGCTCGAACGCTAATAAGCTGTCAACTGATGAAAAAGTCGTAATGTGCACGGAGGCGTTAGCGAATTTAGTCTCGGCAAATCCTGGTAGGTTTTTAAAGGGTACTTCAACCTTGAATGTAGTTGATTTTGTAATACCATTTGGCAACTGGAATAAATTGCGGGGCCTTCGTTGCCAAGTCAGTGTTTCCGTCCTCCCAGACGAATCTAGCACCAACCAGCCGACTCGGGAGAGAGCGAGCTCGAGTGGTCTGGGCGAAATTGAATCTGGTAATTGTCCCTGGACCGCGCTCGCGGACTATCTGCTCCTCAGTTGTTATTACGTACAGAGAAATCGGAAGTAATCTAGCAGGGGGCTCTTTTCGAGAAGCGTCTCATTGACTCTTTTTTAAGAAACTAGTAGGAAGCGACCAACTATAGTCTGGTTCGCTACGTATGATGGGGCGTGTCAGTGAGGCTGGATTTAGCGCGCCACCACTCGTTCTCCACCAGTTGTTGAAGCAAGTAAGCGCAACATTGTTGGAAAACGGCTTGATACGAACGATATGGTAAAAAAAAAAAAAAAAAAAAAAAAAAAAAAAAAAAAAAAAAAAAAAAAAAAAAAAAAAAAAAAAAAAAAAAAAAAAAAAAAAAAAAAAAAAAAAAAAAAAAAAAAAAAAAAAAAAAAAAAAAAAAAAAAAAAAAAAAAAAAAAAAAAAAAAAAAAAAAAAAAAAAAAAAAAAAAAAAAAAAAAAAAAAAAAAAAAAAAAAAAAAAAAAAAAAAAAAAAAAAAAAAAAAAAAAAAAAAAAAAAAAAAAAAAAAAAAAAAAAAAAAAAAAAAAAAAAGGGGGGGGGGGGGGGTCAAAAGAAACGAGCTGGACGCCGCGCCAAACTCATCCTACCTTCACGCGCCCCATCATCCGCAGCGAACAAGGCTGAGGGTGGTTTGGTAAACTTCCTTACATTCTCTGGTTTGGAACACTTATCGCTCAGAAATGAAGTTGATTTTGTTGAAAAGCTCGGTGAGTTGGCTTCAACGATGTTGAGGGGTATTGCATTTGGGGAAGTTCCTTATTAGGATCTGCTTTGTCTATAGAACCTGGTAGGATGACGGAAACAAAAAAGACTCAATTGTTTCAAGAATCATGATATTCAAAATTTATAGTTCACATGCTAGTCGATGATAAGAGTGAGTTTCTTCCGCTTAAGTGCTGTTTTTTGGTTGTTTTCGTGGTGCTCTTTTGATGTAGCCTAGAGCTCACTTTTTGCGTTGTTTCTGGCTTCTGCATTTCCTATGTTTCCAGTTTCCACTTATTTTGAGTGGTTTCTGAATATTCTGAAGCAGTGATTTACAGGGGTGGAAATCCTACTCATCGGTCATTTCAATCTGATCATTGCCTACCTTCGTGCGCGATTGTTCCCGAATGTCCAATTGGCCACGCTGAAGGTAATTTTGCTTGAGTGGTTCCTTGACAGGTAGCCGTATTCATCCACATCATCAGAGCTTTCTTTAGTTGTTGTCCTTGGCTGTGGCGAACAGAGAATGTGTACAGGATTTATCGAATCTTCACTGTTGTTCTTCATTGTTTATTCTTATGCGGGACAGGAAGGAAGGTTTGTCATTTCTCAAGTACCACAACGACTTCTAGGTATTCCCTATAGTTCCTTCCTTTTGAGAACGTTCTTAGTAGTTTTTTTCCTTCTTTTCATTGTCAGAAAGTCTAGATTGGACCGTTTCCTCAGCTGCTCAAAGATCACATTGGTACAAAAGTTACAGTCCTCATCATTGCGGACTGTCGGGGCGGCTGAGCCGCGCTGCACTGTGACGCGACAGCGGCTGCGGCTCGGTGACGGCGAATCAGCTGATTTCCATGGAATTCGGCTGCGAATTCCCACTTTTTCAGCTCTTCAAGCTTCGAAAGTGGAAGGTGAGTTATTTTGAGCAATTTTAAATTGTACTGACTCTGAATGAATCTGAAAGAATGCAAGCCATTTGAATAAATGCCTGAAATAAGGCAAAATACAAGGAAAAGAGCATATAATCGACATAAAAAAAAGAAATTAGAACCAGTACAATTTGAAATTGTTCAAAATAACTCACTTTCGAAGCTTGAAGCAGGGCACGCCATCGCGTTGTGATCATTTTCTGAAAATTACGACCCCCACCTAATTCCATACTAAAATTACGACCCCTTTTTGGGAGTTGAACAAGGGAAATCAACTATCAAAAAAAATTTTTCTCTGAACCAAATACGACCCCAAGTGGCGACCCCCCCCCCCCCCCCTTTACAGCATCCGTGAAACAAGAGAAATCAACTATCAAAAAAATTTTTTCTCTGACCAAATACGACCCCCCCCCTTGTAATGATCACAACGATGGCGTACCCTGGCTTGAAGAGCTGAAAAAAGGGAATTCGCAGCCGAATTCCATCGAAATCAGCTGATTCGCCGTCACCGAGCCGCAGCCGCTGTCGCGTCACAGTGCAGCGCGGCTGTGCCGCCCCGACAGTCCGCAATGATGAGGACTGTATTCTGCACGGGATCTCTTCTTTAGGCCGCGTCCATCCTTCGCTATTACTTGGGGGCTTTGCCTATTGAGCGATCTCAAGTGACCGCGCTGTAGTGGTCGTAGAAGGGCTGCTGTGAGCTTGAGTAGAAGGTTTTTACCGTGAAACGGTTGTGGACCTTCGCAGCGGTTTAGTTATTGGCGCCGGAGTGCTGTCGCGCGATTATATCGCTTTAGTGGCGAGGTATGAACGCAGCTTTAGCTTGTTGACGGCTTGATTTTTCAGCTCGTGCTCTCATTCTGAACATCTTAATTGCCCTATCTTCGAATGGTCAAATAGTGAAGGAAATGCTAGAATACGGTAAATTTTTGTAATCTAGAGGAATGTATTAGGTGGTACGCAACGGTATCGAAATGATTTTATGCTTCAGGCGGGCTTTTGTACATATTATCAGTTTTGTGCTCCTCTGAAAGTGACTCTGGTGAAAGGTTGCTGGCTGCTGAATTGTTAACAAAACTTCAGGTAAGTTTACTGGTCGTCGTTGTCATCGTGATCATGAATTCCGTTAAACAAACTGCATAGCCCTGAGTCAATACAGTCCAGTTTCCGGTAAAGGAGGCCTTGGTTCTGAGCAAAGCGACGGTAGATAGTTACCAGCTCAAGCGCAGACGAGCACAAGTCGGCGAAGGGGGGGGGGGCATTTTGCACATCTTCTACTTCCCATTGACGTTTCGAGCAAGGAGACCTGCGAAATCGTGTGAAGCCATGAAATGATACGAGTCAAAGTTTGTAGAGACCCCCTGTTAACGCTTGTAAAGAGCACCTGTTAACTCGTATGCATTGAAATACAATACAAATACCAATAACTAACTCAACGGCTCGACGAACTCGCTCCAGTTTCACAAGAGTTCACAGGCTGAACTATGGCAAAACTTGTAAACCGGAACTGTTGACGCAGCGGAAGTGCGAAATACACCCCCACCCCGCGTATTCCCTCACCCCCAGTTGCCGAACTGTGCCCAGAGACGTTGACAGTTTGTTCATGTGAGCATGTGGTCAGCCACATTCTCCCTCCAGCGGTGGTATATGGGCTATGGATTGGAAGTAGAGTACTCAGTTTTGCTTTTAAGTCAAAGATACAATGTAAAGATGGATGGTAGTCAACGCC